TTTTTCGAAAATTTTCAAAAATTTGAATAATTTTTCTAAAGTCAAAAACAGATGCCTTCCAAGCTCGATGAATGCCTCGCCCTGTCTCTGCCGGACTCGGCCTTTATCTCACTCGGTTTCTGCCTGCCTCGGTGTTTGCTCCAACTGGCCTCTGCAGGACTTGCTCTGTGCCTCACGTGCTATCTGCCGCACCAGGGATTCTCAAGAGATGGGACGTCAGAGAGAGAACTAGGCTCTGCCCGACCTGGTCTCTGACACCCTACTTCAGAGTCTCAGATGGACCCGGTGTGTGCCTCATCGGTGTCTTCTCTACACTGTGTGTGATTCACCGTGTCTGCTTGCAACTGTGTACGCTTCAAGTAGCATCTGCTTGACTCGGTCTCCGCCTCCCCCTATCTTTGCTTGACATTCTCTTTGACCCACCAGGTCTTTGCATGACACTCTCTCTCTCTCTCTCACATGTCTGCTTGAAGCGGTCTGTCTCTCACATCGCCTGTCGAAGCAGGTCTTTGTACAGACAGCCTGGCATACATAGGATGATACAGAGAACTGTTCGTGCAAGCCCGATCCCGGTAGAGAACGCGGACGTTTCAATGTGCGGTACACACCGCGTCATGCAGATATCGGTTCTGGCAGTGATCGTGTGGGGATAATATTGGAAAAGAAGAATAACAAATTTTTCAAAAAATGCAGGTAAATGTTCAAAAGGCGCACAACGCTATTTTTTTTTTAAAAATTCCGAAACTGGAGTAGAGATAGAGATAGAGGTACTGTAACTGTTGGATTCTCAGCAATGTGACAGAACGTGTGATGACCTTGTGATGTCAACACCACTTTTCCACTTCAGTGATACCTTTGACTTTTAACTCAGCAGTAACATTAGAAAACTTAGCCAGTATCACAACTTCATGTACTAATAAATATTTTATTAGTTCAATAAATTACATCAAACCTGAAAAGTGACACATAGGTGGTCTACTGAGTCAGGGATTGGAATTTGAAAGTTTTAAATGTCATGGCAAAAGAATTCAGAATGAGTAGTTGTATATTTGGTAAGTTTGCATCACTCTATGTTAACCTCCCACACAAGCGAAGTGTTCATATTAACTGTGTTAGCCTGGCTAACACTTTTAAAAATAAAAAAAATGTAAAGTCTTGTGTCCTACTTTCATGTTTCAGTGATTCTCCACACACTCCAACACATAAGAATTAACCAGATAAAATGCACTGTTAGCCACCTAGTTGAGGCTTACACTTACTTTAAATGTAACAAAACTAACAGTGCCTGACTGGCTGGCTGGATATTTTATTTAATCAGTTCTGCTGTATTCCAGTGAATAGAGTATCACTGAATCACGGAATTAAAACAAAAAAATTTAATTTTTCAAATCATAAGCAGGGCTAACATGGTTAACATGATCACTCTGCTCCTGGCCTACAAAGATCAGAATTGAGTCAGGGCAGAACTGGAGGCAGTTGCAATAAGGGACAGACATGGGAGTCATATTCAATCCTTAGTCTAAAAAAGCTGACATCATGATGTATACAATGTTTTTAACGTATAGTATGCAAAACATAAATATATTAAAATTCCTGCTAGTATCTGGTGACTTCTTAGCTGGTAACTTGGGTTACTAATATTATAATTAACTTCAGCCAAAGGTTTTTTTTTTAAATTCTTAAGCCAGAAGAAGAGATAAATAATTCTTCTATAAAGTAAATATGATTCCATGATTCTTAGTCATAGAATTTATTTCTGGTACTCACCAACACTTAAACACACCCCAAACCTATAATGAAGTTTCAAAATATTAAAATTTATGAATTTCATTCCATTGTATCAAACAATAATAATTCAGTTTTATTATGTCTTCTATCTGATGGTTAATCAAATTAAATTCTACGTTACACAGTATTCAGTAAAATCAAATTATACTGCACATACGTAATGAGCCGGGATAGCTCAGTCAGTATAGTGACTAGCTACGGGCTGGACGACCGGGGTTCGATCCCCGACGGGGGCAGAGGATTTTTCCTCTAGCCTCTGCGTCCAGACCGGCTCTGGGGCCCACCCAGCCTCCTCTACAATGGGTACCGGGGTCCTTTCCCGGGGGTAAAGCCGGCCGGGGCGTGATGCTGACCACTCACCCCCATCTAGTGCTGAGGTCAAGGAAGAGAGGAGCTATACCTCCACTCCCCCCAAGCGCCTACATGGCGTATAGTGGGACAAACTTTACTTTACTTTACTTTACTTACTGCACATACGTATAATTTTATATTATGGAGTACTGAAGAGATATTATTCATGCAATTTTTGTACCTTCTTATAAATCTTTAAAACATTTATAACCATGAAAATGGCTCTTTTCTGGTTTGTTGTGCTGTGTAATGCAGTAAAGTAGAAATGTATGGACATTTCAGATGCATGTTGCCCTGAGATGAGTCTCCCTGATGATGGAGGCAGCAAGTACCTCTGAAATGCCAGTCTATTTCCACCAGACTACCCAGTGTTCAACAACCCACAAGAGAGCCATCTACATAGTCACTACAATGATAACCTGAAATCTCAGTTTTTAACCATCTCTATACCAATAAAATCTAATTCGTTGAAGCTGAAGTGTAACACCAATACAACGATCTGTCAGAAGCTACGGTTGATTCTGCACTGAATAGTCTCTGCTGCCAATTGTTCATATAAAATTCCTGTCAGCTATTCCTTGTCCATGCCTACTGATACCTGTTATTAACTAACTAACTAGATGGCTTAC